AGATATATATATATCTTACTAACCTTAAACTTTTGAACGGTAGTGTATATTTTAAAATAAAAACGATGATCATGAAAATTAATGAAAATGATCATGCTCTGAACTAGCTGTTTGTATTACAACACATAGTATAAAACAAGAGAAAAAATAAAGTTCAAAACAAATCCTCGCCATTCCTGACTGACTGTTTTTGCAGGATCTCATATGAGCCAAGACTGAGCTCAGGTTTTTTTCCGCAGTCGACGCGGCGACCCTGATTAGTTGGCTGATAGGACTGCCATGGCACTATGAGAAAAATACATGTTTGAGCAAAGATGGGAGCACACATGTGCGAAAATTGAAAAAAGACTGTAGGCCAAACAAGACTTACCTTCTGTGAGTTTGTCGCAGAAAGGACAGTAGAATCTTTGCCCGCAGTCCTGCCAGCTCATAGCAGGGCTCATGAAGGCCCCGCAGTGTGCACAGCCCTTAACACAATCTCCCGCCTCACAAACTGGCACATCACGCTGTGGAAAACATTCACACAACATGTTTATAAGAGTATTTCATCTTTAAAATAATCAGGTCACAGTAAAACACCGAGGAGTATGTGAAGGTGATTGAGATTTCTACAAAACACCCACACAATTCGACACAAAAAAGACAAAAATTAAATTAAAAATTAAAAGTGACATTTTCCGCAGGATATCTTATTCATTCTGACCACCCCTTTTCATTCATACTTCTCCCTTCTCGGGCCTGGCCAGCGGACACACGATCGCACCCAGCGGGAGATGACTTTTCTGAGCTGACTGAGCCTCCACAGGGAAGCTATAGGACGTGCAGCGGATAAAACGAGCTGTGGCATTACCTGTGAAGCACAGCGAACAACAAAAGTCTTATACTATATTGTGTTGTACAATATTATAATCTAATTTTAACTTATAACAACTAGGGATGCACCGATACTGATACTGGTATTGGGACCAATGCTGCGCTCCTGTACTATTACTCATTAAAATACTCCCGATACCAAAAGCCGATACCACACAGTGTGTGAACAGTGCTGTGTCCAGACAAGGAAACACAGACAACAGAACAACAGAGAGCAGAATGGAGTTTAGAGATTAAGGATGTCTATGAAGTACATGTGTGTAATTAATCTAATGTTAAACATTCAATATGTGGAAGTTGTGGCCTAATGGTTAGCGAGTCGGACTTGTAACCCAAAGGTTGTGGGTTCGAGTCTCGTACCGGCAGGGATTGTAGGTGGGGGGGGGGAATGTACAGCGCTCTCTCCCACCTTCAATACCATGACTGAGGTGCCCTTGAGCAAGGCACCGAACCCCCAACTGCTCCCCGGGCGCCGCAGCATAAATGGCTGC